ACACCCTCATCTTCATCAATATAACCTGCCTAATTTCACCAAATACTTTCCATCAGTTACCGTTAGAAGGAAGCCTAGGACTCCTCAGTCATCCCTCACCTACCAGGTTTTCATTCACAATGTCCTAGTGCATCTCTTAATCAGACCTCATTTCCACCTACAACTCCCCAGACTTTTGCTAATTACTCTTTAGAATTCAACATCCTCCTCTGAACTGCACTTTTTAAAACCTATGTCTCCACCCAGACAAAACCCTGGTTGAAAGGCTCCGAGTTATGGTAAAAGCTGGGACTGAAGATGGCTTTCCTGGAGCTGGTGCTGGAAGGAGCAGGTCCTGGCTCCACCCTTAGGTGCTGGCTTGAGGAACTAAAGACTAGGAGCCTCAGTTATCCAGTAGGTCCTCCAAGAGATGGTGAAATAAATGGGGTAGAAACTGATCTGGTAAGGGACACAAAGGTGGAACTATAGAGAATGGAATTGAGAACACTTTTTTTTTTTTGCCCCTATCAAAAAGAAAATGTGGGTTATTTAAAACACACACACACACACACACACACACACACACAAACAGACAAAAAAAACTTTTTGTGAAGATCATGATATTTGCAAATCAGACGTATTGAGACCCTGAGGACACCTTCAGTTCTCTGTCTGAGGAAACTGTGTACCGGGTGTTGGGAACCAGGGCGTGATTGTTTCAGAGCCATCATCCCCAGCTGTGGCTCTACTGTATCTTCATTCCTGTGGGTTCTTCATTCCTGTGGGGGGTTTTCTGTTTTGTTTATTAAGAGAAAGGTCTTTTGCCAGCACCGGTTTGGCTCAGTGGATAGAGCGTTGGCCTGTGGACTGAGGGGTCCCGGGTTCAATTCCGGTCAGGGGCATGTGCTTTGGTTGCAAGCACATCTCCAGTGGGGGGGGTGCAGGAAATGGCTGGTCGATGATTCTCTCTCACCGATGTTTCTGGCTCTCTATCCCTCTGTCTTCCTCTCTGTGAAAAATCAATAAAATATATTTTTTTTAAAAAAAGAAAGAAGAGCCGAAACCGGTTTGGCTCAATGGATAGAGCGTCGGCTTGGGGACTGAAGGGTCCCGGGTTCGATTCCACTCAAAGGCATGTACCTTGGTTGCGGGCATATCCCCAGTAGGGGGTGTGCAAGAGGCAGCTGATCGATGACTCTCTCTCATCGATGTTTCTAACTCTATCTCTCTCCCTTCCCCTCTGTACAAAATCAATAAAAAATATTTTATAAAAAAAAAAAAAGAAGAAGAAAAAGAAAAAGGTCTTTTAAGATTTTTTAAAGATGATTTGACTTTCGGTAGTGGGAATACTGCAACATACAGATGATCTATAATAATAGAAGGGTAATGTGCTAATTAGACTAGACAGCCAAACAAGCTTTCACATGTCTTTTTGGACGAAGCCGCGGCTGCGAGGGCCCAGCCCCTTGCACACATTTCGTGCTAGTGTGTTATAAAAATAAACACACAAACATTTTTTATATTTATTATTTAGTTTTAGAAACTCAATCGTGATGTTCCTTGGGTATAGTGTTTCCTGATTTTTTTTTTTAACTACTTAGATTATGTGAGCTTATAGTTTTCACCAAATTTGGAAGAAAATTCTTCAAATATTTTCTGTCCCACTCATACCCTTCCTCTCTCTGTTAGACCATATGATGTTGACCTATAGGTCACTGAAGCTTTATCGTTTTATTTTTTACTCTCTATTCTCTATAGGTTTTAGTTTGGGTAATTCTTGTTATGTCTTCAGGCATCTCTTCTTCTGCAGCATCTAAATTATTCCTATTCAGTGAATTTAGTATTTTGTATATATAGTAAATTTTTCATCTTTAAATGTTCTATTTAAAAAAAAATAAAACTTATTTCTCACCTCATTATGTTTATATTTTTCTTTATATCCTTAAGCACATATATACTAGTTCTCTTCAAGTTCTTGCCTGCTAATTTAGTCATCCTGTAACTTCTTGGTCTGTTGCTTTTGACTAATTTTCATCTTGGTTTGGTTATCACTATTCCATTTCTTTCTATGTCTACTAATTTTTTATTGGCTAGTGGACATAATGAAGTTTCACGTTCTGTGCTGGGTTTCTTCTTTTTTCAAATAGTGTTGGGCTTTGTTTTAACCGGAAGTTGTTTATGGATCAGTTTGATCATTTATTGCTAAGATCAGAAAACTTTTTCTTTAAGGGCCAGACAGTAAATATTTTAGGACTGTGGGTAATCTGATCTCTGTTGTAACTGCTCAACTCTTATAGCTAGAAAGCAGCCATAGACAATCCGTGGTTGTTACCGTGTTCTAATAGTTTATTTTCAAAAAACAGTTGGCTTTTCTAGGGCTGGTAATTGTTAACCTTTGTTTCGAGGCTTGTTTTTTAAGTTTTGTTAGAGTGGACTTGGAGTAGCTTTATTCTATGGCTAATTTATTTCTTTTCGAGCATCTCCTGATTCCCCTGGATGTTCAGCATGAACTCTCTACTGGTTGAAACACATGTCTTGTGGCCCTCTGCGCTTTGGGAACTGTCAGTTTACAGTGTTCCAGTCCTGCTTTGCCCACCCTACTGGTACTTCCCTCAGGACGTGCACAGCTCACCACCCAGCCACGGATTCCAGCAGACCCCTGCGCCGAGTTATGGCAGTCTCCTGGAGCAGCCCCCTCTGAGGTCACCTGCCCCTCCAGTTCCAATTTTTGTCTCCTTAACCAGATAGTTTTGATCTGCTCGGGATTCTCCTCCTTGCTCTGCAGCCCAAAAAGTGTCTCCAAACTTCTCTCCCTCCCCCAAAAAGCACCACACACACACACACACACACACACACACACACACTCACACTCACCACACCACATTTCTTTTCCTTCTTTCAGGGATTATAGGACTGTCTGCCCATTGTTCAATATTTGAAAACTGTTTTATATATTTTGTTCCACTTTATAGGTGTTATAGCTAGGGGTTAAGCCCCTTCCAGGTTTGCCATCTTGGCAGAAAGCCTCTTTGATGATTTTAAAACTAACACATAAGTTTCATTCCAGACTAGATTCTCTGGATATGCTGCCTGGGCTTCCATACCTTTAAAAAAAAAAAAAAAAAAAAAAGGTTCCCCAGGATTCTGACTCCCAGTCAAGTTTGAGAGTCAAACTTGAGTTTTGGGGGGCTAAGTAGAGGTAATTTGAGCACACCAAGTCCTGGGCCTAGTATATCTTAAGTGGAGGTGTTGATATTTGAGACTCTAATCAGACAGGAGGCAGAAAAGTCAGCTAAGAAGGAGGGAGGCTGTGTACCAAAACCCTTACTGAAAGGACGGTAAGAGATGGCTTTCCCTATTTTGGAGTTTTGAAGCTAAGGCTTTATCTCTCTTCTTCTTCACAGACACCAGGTGAAAATAGTGACCAGACTCGTTCATTCTTTTCTCTCCTGCTAACACTGTGGTAGACCTTGCTGTTATTTGTATCCTTTAGACAGATTAGAGATTAGAAGGCTGGAATTCTGTAGATTATTCCATTTGTACAGTTTTAGGACCAAGTCCCTGGCCCCAGCTTTCACTTCATTCATATTCTCCCCAAACTAATGGAAGTTGAGAGAAAAATGGGGTGATCTCTCTCTGCCTGTGATTTATTTCTCCCTTCCTCCCTTTCTCTCTGAAGTCAGAGTTTTTGTTAGGTAAAGCATGTTAAAGTAATATTTTTATTTACATTATGTGTAGCCATCCATGGGCATTTGAAGAAACTAAAACCGATGCCCTTTCAGAGGTAATTTATCCAAACAATAAGCAGGAAATGATAAATGTGTCCCCCAGGGACCACCACAATGATAAAATTTATTTAAACTCATTTAGGCTTAAAAAGTAATGCATGGATGGAACTGGAGAGCATTATGCTAAGCAAAATAAGCCAATCAGAGAAAGATAAATATCACATGATCTCACTCATATGTGGGATATAATGATCAATATAATTTGATGAACATTAGGTCCAGAGACAAATGGTAAGTGGGGGGGGGGGGACAGTTAGAGAGCAACCAAAGGACTCGTATGCGTGCATATTAGCGTAACCAATGGACACAGACCCTGGGGTGGTGGGGCCTTACTCATGGGAATGGCTTGGGGGAGGGGGGTTTCAATAAAAAAAAAATAAGTTAAACAACTAACTGAAGATCAAACTTTTTAAAAAAAGTAATGCACATTATACATTTTATTCTTTTATGTATTATTATTTGTGTTAATATAAAAGTGTCCTAACCACTTAATGGAATTGACATTCCAGAAAAATATACCATCTTTATCCTGTGATTCATATTTCTCTTGATATGCCTGTATGTTTATACTAGAAACTTTCTTACTTGGTGAATCACAACTAAACTTTTTTTTTTTTTTTTTTTTTTTTTACACAACTAAACATTTTTAAAAGAGTGTTTAGTTCCTGAGTTCTAAGTTACATTGTAGGTGATATATTATAGTACTTAGAGATACAGCCACCAGATGCTTGATACAAGTTTACCGGAATGGCCCTGGCCCGTGTGGCTCAGTTGTTTTTGCAGTGTCCCATGCACTGAGAGGTCACAGTTTGATTCCCAGGCAGGGCACATGCCCAGGTTGCAGGCTCGATCCCCTCTCCCTCCCTTCCTTTCTCTCTCTCTCTCTTTCTCTCTCTCTCTCTCTCTCTCTCTCTCTCTCTCTCTCAATAAAAACATATGATTTAAAAAGTTTATATGAATGTTTCTTTGAGGGGAAAGTGTATTTCAAATTCTAGTCAACATGCTGGTAGTTGGCCTTTTTTGAGTAAGGACTTGGTTTTTTTAGGGCTTCCCAGTTATCCTTTTTTTTTTTTTTTTAATTGCTCAGAAATATTCTTTATTCTTTGTATTTCTTTAGAATGTTTTCGTGAATATAGGTGTACTGGTGCCCAGTCATTAAGTGTTCGCTAAAGCAGTGGTTTCACTTACACTTGGTTTCCACTGAAACATTGATTTTTCTTTGCCATTCTACAGTACCTTCTCCAGGCAAATTCCGCTCCCCTGCAGCGCCATCTCCTTTGGCTCTTCGGCAACCAGTAAAAGCGTTTAGTAACCATGGCTCTGGTTCTCCTGGGAGCCAAGAAACAACACAACTCACACAAACCACCTCCTCACCTGGGCCTCCCATGGCTCAGAGCACAGTCCCAGCAAACCCTCCCAGCAATATCAACAGCACTACGCTAACCAGACCGACAGGGACAACCGCGATGAGAAGTGGCTTGCCCAGACCCAGTGCCCCTTCTGCTGGGGGCATTCCAGTGCCTCGCAGCAAACTTGCACAGCCTGTCCGCAGGTAAGTGCTGGTCAGCATTCTTGAGCATGGGAACGTGGGAGGACTGGACTTGCATTCACCTTTGCATTGGATAGTGGACAGAGAGAGTCCTAACTGGATTCTCACTAGAGTCTTAGTACAATTTGAATAAAACATTTTTTTATTGTTTTAAAGAAAACCTTACATGGGACATTAGGGTATTATATCACTTTGGTTCAGATTAAATTTGCCCAGAAACCTAACATGAGTAAGCATCTCAGAGACCTCCTAGAAAAAATTGTTAGAACCACTCAATTTGGTTATGGTATTTGTTCATTTTGAATATAATAATGTTCAATAAAGATTGTAAAGGCATATTAGAACCTAAAATGAAATTTAAGATAACATTTCTAGCCACCAAGTCTAAATATAATCTGGGAGGGTGATTTTCAAACCCTGCAATTCAGAATCTTCTGTGGAATTTGTATAGAGGCCCAAAATTTACTGCCATAGAGCTGGTGTGATAAGCCTAAAATCTGCTGGTTTTTGTTGTTTAATTTTCAGGTGATTCCGAGTTCAGCCAGGTTGGGAACTGTGCACCTGTTATCTTTATCTTTTAGGAATGTGATTACCACCATCAGTAAATTCAGGTGTCAAACAAAAATAAATGTTAAATATTTATTTGCATGTAAAAAAGTGCAATCATCCCATAAGCTTTCAAACTGCCTATACTTTTTATTCTAAGATAAACATATTACATTTCTGAATTCAATAGTACAGTACAACAGCTTTTTACTATGCACTGTGCTAAATAACTTACATCTATCTTATTTTATAACACTAGAGGTCCGATGCATGAAATTCATGCAAAAGCAGGCACCCAGGACCCAGGCTTCCCTTGCAGCCCAGCTTCGTCCGGAAGGGCATCCGATCTAATTAGTATATTACGCTTTTATTATTATAAATTATTATAGATGAAACATGTAGGTACTGTTGTTACTCCTATTTTCGGAGAAGAATATTGAAATGTAATGATGTACATAAGGTTGGTATTCCATGTGGTTGGAAAAGATGAGACAACCTTTCCCTTTCTTTTACTCTACTAGCGATGCTAACCAAAGGAGGTCAGTGAGGTCACCTGATGCCCAATAAAACTGGGACATTGTGGAAATACTGAGTGGGGGACAATTGTGCAGACGGCTGTGCAGAGCTTTGATCTCAGTAGTCCCCTGAAGCAGCCTGCATTGGGGTGTGATGCCACCTGCAGAGTCATTATCGTGTGGGAGATGGGATGGCAGTGTTTCACTTAAGCCCTGAAGTCACTTTACAAAATTGCTCATTTCAGATCCTTGCCAGCTCCTAAAACCTATGGCAGCATGAAAGATGACAGTTGGAAAGATGGCTGTTATTGACCAGCAAAGAGAAGAATGCAGAAGTCCACAGCTTCACAGACACCCTTCACCAGGCTAAATGACAACTTTTATATGCAGACTGTTCATAAGAGACTCTTGGGATTTGTAAAGTCCCAGCCCTCTCTGTCTTAATTAGCACAAACTGACAGAGATGACCAAGCAGCACTTTAATGACATTTAACATCAGATGTGTTTGGTAATCATACAATCACTCTCCATGGAATCGCTTTTAGTTTTGTTTAACAGAAAGTTGATTTTTTACTATTTGACAGAGGCCAATATCTGGGCAAAAAAACTAATGGATGCCAAAGAGAAAATGCCCTTTTGTAAACGAGAGAGTACCTTTGTGTACAAGAAAATGGTGAATCCAAGCTATCCAAAACTTCACGTCCAATCTAATTCACTGTAGAAACGGTATTAATAAATATTTGTATTAATGAGGACTAACATTCTGATTAATTACCTGAAATGTTTCACTGGTACTCCAAGAGACTAGATTGAGATGGAGGAGGATGGCAGCTAGAGATTTAAAACGTGATACCTAAATTTGGGAGAATTCTATAAATTAATTTTGCAGATTCGTTAGAAATGAAAATGTCACTTGTTTAATGTCAAGTTTTGGATGTAGCTCACATGTCACCGCCATCAGGAGTGTTACAGCTTGCATCCATCACGTCGCATCGACACATCGGGCTTCTGTGTTTGTTTCGATTGCCAAAGGGCTTAATGTCAGTTGTACAATCTCTCTACACTTTCTAGCTCCTGGCTCAGGAAAGATAGCCTTTGCTATTGAAGCCAACTTCTTCACATGCTGTTAATTCTGTTACAGAACTGAGAGACCTTGTTTTCATTAGCAGGTTTCCATGATAGGAAAGAGCAAGTAGTGTGTGTCTTTATTCTTTACATAACACCACCTCGGTGCTTACAACCTGGAACAAAACCATGCAGTGAGAGAGGGGGGAAATCTATGCACTTAACTTATAAAATCTCCGGTAACGACAGTGTATTGTTGCTGTTCATGACACAACGGTCTGTTACGTGGTAGGAGACTAGCCTGCTGAATCCTACCTAAGTGGATCCACTTTAAACTGAGTAACTGTATAAAATGTCCTTCGAAAATACTGTCTCTTTTGACTTTGATTCTGCCTTACATCAATTTTTGCATTTTTGGGAAACAAATGAAATCCGAACATGTGACTCTAGCCCTTAAATACTTGCTTTCTAATGGCCCATATGTATACCCTGGGAATCGTTTATTTCAGGTGTGTGGGGGTTTTTTAAGTCTTTTACTAAAAAAAATTTTTTTCTACAGCATGTTTCTCATTTTTATGGTGAGAGGTCTGTTTTTAAATATTTGTTTGAACAGCTCTAAAATATTGGTACTCGAGTCACCTAAAGGATTTTAGGGATTTGAATATAAGTTTATTTCCTGTTAGTCAAAGACATTCTGTAAGTTGGCAAAAGAACTTGAGAAATGGGAAGCTTGATATTCAGAATAGCACTGGGATTGACATGTTGAGAGAGCCCTGTTGTGCCGTGAGTGACACCACGGCTTGACCGTGATGTTAGTTGACCATAGGGAGTCATTCCCGTTAGTATAAGCAGCTGGAGAGTTGACCTGACAGTGCTATGTATTTCGGTGTATAACGCAAGGAATTTTATCCTTGAATTTGAGGGTGATGGGGGTGGATCAGGAAAAGATGGTACCAGATGTCCACATGATTATGAACTAAAAAATGTTGCTTTTTAGAGAAGATACATCTGCTTTGAGTGTGTGTGGGGTGTCCCACGTAAAAATCTATTAAGTGAAAGAAAGAACTGGCCACTGTCTCTCTTCAAAATCACATATACGCAAAACAAGATAGGTCTCAGTTTTCAGTGCAACATTGCAAAAAGTAAATATATATATGCTGCAATCCAATAATTAAGAGGGATTTTTAACTATTATGAAACACCATGACATTTTTTAAGTTAGATTATCGGTTTCAAAAGGGAGTATTCAGGTTATTTAACTTTGTTTTTTAAAGGCTGCATCAGAAAAAAATGTCTATTTTTTTTAATTCAAATATTTCATCACATGTTAAAAATGTATTTGGATCTGAGTTGGGTAAAGTATAATTTTACCTGCTGTTGTACTGCCACAGACCATTGGCTTTTGGTCTCCTAAAGAGAAAAATTGCCTTTTTACTACAAAGCCTTTGTGTATTGCCAATTTTTCTATTTGGGAAAATCCAAGAATTACTGTGGTTAGTCTTACAGGAGAAATGTGGATTTAATAAACTAGTGCCTATGATTTTAACTTATGTTTGATATATAGTAGTAAGGGGTTTATGAATGTTAAATATTTTTTTGTGCCAACAGCCCAGATTTGTCCTTATATGTAAGCAGAAAGCTATGAGCTCTGCTTCTGAAGTTATTTAATTTTCTCAGTGTTTGAATGTTATTTTTTTGTGTGTTAATAAAAGTGTAAAGAATTGGAAAAATATAAATATTCTTAACTCAAGTATTTGCTGGATCATTTTTCTACAAAACTTGTTTGTAATAAGAAACACTCTGAAGAGTTGACTTTTTTCAGTTTTCATACCTGGAAATCACATTTTGTAAAACTGGGGACCATTCATAATTGTCAGATACTTTTTAAAATTGTTATCTCAATACATCACTTTTATAAAAAAGTTTTTTTGGAAGGAAATTAGATACATGTGTCCCCAGGTGTTTGTATAACTCTAGAATTATCTAGACTGTGTATGTTTTTATTGAATGTATAGGCATCAATTTTTGACATTACGCATGGTCCTTTGAGATCACATGAACTTTGATTTGCAAACATTTCTATAGCCGAACTTGTATGTATGGTTGCCTCCTTAATAAACAGCCTGACCATAATGTTTATTATTAAATTTATATTTGTTTTTCAAGTGTTTTATTAATTTCTGAGTATGATGAGATTCAACTTCACACGCCGCCAATTGCCTACCATTGGTTTTAATAAGTTTCTCAGTTGATTTTTTTTTAAACACGCAAACCCAAATCACATTTGATCTTTATGAGGTTGGAAACATATCATGTTATATTTTCTTTGTCCTGATCATTTCATATGTGGGTTACTTGGAGTAAATTTATAATTTACTCAAAACTGGTATGGTTCTGGAACTTTTTCACCTGTAAATTAATAACTAATTAGAAAAAGTTAGCATATATGAAATAAGCAAAATGTCAATTTTAAAAGAGTTTCCAACAGAGAAAATGAATATATTTTCAAAGCAAATATGGATATTTAGTTGATCATGTGAATCTTTTCTCTCATGGAAGAATGGGAAAAATTGAGAATTGTACATTATTTCATTAGTTCCCCACATTCCTTTTGGAAGTTTCTAACTGGCCTTTAAGTTACAAAAATATTAGAAAAATTATTCTTCATGTTTGAATTTTTCTCCCAAGTCAAGCTAAAAAAAACTTTTAAGAACCATTTAAAATTGTCAAAATATTTGTAAGTCAATGAATGAGAAGTTGACTTAAACCAGTCCTATGCCAGTACAACAGGAGAATCTCCTTGGAGGTTTTTTGCAGAGTATTTGCTGTATCAAAGTTTAGCTCTTGAGTTATAAAAGCAGAATAAATGTTTGAGAAACTGATTTGGAAGGACATAGCAAACAGGATGTTCATTCACAATGAGCATGAAGCCAAAGTTAGCATCCCCTAATGTATTTTGTATTTTAAATGATCCGGAATATATGTCTGAGGAGACTCAGTGAAATGGCCCTCGGCCCTAGCCGGTTTGGCTCAGTAGATAAGAGTCTTGGCCTGTAGACCGAAGGGTCCTGGGTTTGATTCCAGTCAAGGGCACATGATGGGGTTGCAGGCTCAATCTCCTGTGGTGGTGAGTGCACGACACAGCCGGTCAATGATTCTCATCATTGATGTTTCGATCCCTCTCCCTCTCTAAAATCAACAAATATATATGTGTGTGTGTGTGTGTGTGTGTGTGTAGTATGTATATTTAAAAATAAAAATGAATAAGAAAAGAGTTAACCTAAAAAAAAAAAAAAATATATATATATATATATATATGTATATATATATATATATATATATATATATTTTTTTTTTTTTTTTTAAAGAAAGAAATAGCCCTCTGGCTGCTAGTCCAAGAGTGAAACAGATGTCACTCATGGACCTTAATATAATACAACCTGGTTAAAACTGCTGAATGATGCCAATTTCAAACCAATTCCTTATCTGCACTGGGTAACTTTATTGTTTGCTTTTTATAAAGAAAAAAATAAAACTTTATGAAAAAGTAATAGAGATGCATTGTATCAAAAAAAAAACTGAAAATAGTAATACATATAAAGGTGAAAATGATCCTGTGTTTCACCTGGGAATCCTGCATGTCACCTGAGGAACCTGCAATCTAGGAATAAATATTGAAGTGCTGACCTAAAATCTATACTAATAATAGAGGAATATGCAAATTGTCTGGAACGACATCACAGTAACAGTAACAACCAAACAGCGGGGCTGACAGACTGCATGGGGTGACAAGGCCAGCAGGGGGACACCTAGCAGGCTGTGTGGAGTGACCAGGCCAGCAGGGGGGGGTTAGTGAGGGACCACCAAACAACAGCAGGCTGCATGGGACAACCAGGCATGGGGGGGAGGGGCCAGTTGGGGGTAATTAGGCTGACGGGGGCAGTTGGGGGCAACCAGGCTGGCAGTTGGGGGCAAGGGGGCTAGTTAGGGGCAACCAGACCAGCAAGGGGTGCTAGTTGGGGGCTACGAGGCCGGCAGAGGGGGCAGTTAGGGGTGATCAGGCAGGTATGCAAGTGAGAAGTTAGGAGCCAGCGATGCCAGATTGTGAGAAGGATGTCTGACTGCTGGTTTAGGCCTGATCCCTGGGACATCCCCCGAGGGGTGCTGGATTGGAGAGGGTGCAGGCTGGGCTGAGGGGAATTTTGTACATTAATCCTGTTGCACTGAGCCTCTAGTGGTTATATAAG